GGACTTGAATTTCAAGAAATTTTTCATCCGATCTTCAGTGAAGTCACTGTTGAAGCTTTCTTTCCTGTGGATTTTCTTAATCACACTCGGGTACTGGGCTTTTTCAAATTCTCAATAAATGTGGCATTATACTATGGTTTTTCTTTATTCTTTTTTGTTTTTTTGCTTGTTTTTAGAAGTGGTTTTTAAAAGGTGGTATTTCTTTGTTTCACCAACTTTCTTCAGCCAAAATAGATGATTGAAAGAGCACAGGGGTGCTTAGAAACTATTTTCTGAGGGCCTCCCCTGTGCAAGATGGTGGGTTAGATCTTCCAGAAGATAATCCTACAAAAAGGAATTTCAGGTCCTTCAGCTTCCAAACCTGTTCATTTTATTCATATATCACTCTATGCACAATTACTTCAGTCATCGAGGATATAGAAAAGTCTGCTTATAAGCAACAATGAGAGAGACCTAAACACGTTAAAATAATGGCAGAAGATGTAAAGGCATCCTAAATTCTGGTCCCAGTTTTGTAACTAACATTCTGTGAATTCTTGAGCAAGTCCTTTCACCTGCCTGGGCACTATTTCTAATCTGGAAAACGAGAGAATTGAGTTTTATTACTTACAACAACTCTTCCAGGGCTATGATAGTAGAGCATTTCCTAAACAGGTGTTCCACTGACAATTAAAAAACACCTACTGGCAGGCGAGGTACTCTGGGCAGGGCCAAGCAGGCCCGAGGGTGAGCTCTGCCATAGGTGCCCCCAGGCCCAGACTCCACTGGACACCCCGCTGCCCCGTCTTTTCTCCCGAGGATGGGGCAGGCAGTGCAGAGGCGCTTGGGAGGCGACTTGTGATTCAAGGTGACCAACGAAGACCTTCTTCCCAAAAAGGTTCGACTGTGTGAAACAGACTTCAGAGTTATGGCACGAGATGAGTTAAGTTTAAGATGGAAGCAGTATGAAGCATATGTGCAAGCTTTGGAGGGCAAGTACACAGACCTCAACCCTAATAATGTCACTGGCTTAAGAGAGTCTGAAGAAAAACTAAGGCAACAACAGCAAGAGTCTGCATGCAGGGAAAACATCCTTGTTATAATACCAGCAACCAAGGAACAAGAGATGCAAGAGTGTACTACTCAAATCCAGTACCTCAGGCAAGTGCAGGAGCCTAGCGTTGCCCAACTGAGATCAATAATGGTAGACCCAGCGATGAAGTTGTTTTTCCCAAAAATGAAAGGTGAACTGGAACAGACTAAAGACAAACTAGAACAAGCCCAAAATGAACTGAATGCCTGGAAGTTTGCACCTTATAGGTAAACAAGTCACACTCACTAGTCAAGGCTTTCCTGACAGTCCCACTACCAGAAAGCTGTGGTGGAATGGCCAAGTACTAGTTTTCACACCAAGACTCAGATGTTTTGAGCCAAAAAAGCCACATTCTTATACTGTCCAGCTTGTAATAGTTAATGTAAAACTAACCAGATGAACCTTGTGTTTCGGCTAGAACATGTAAAATCCCAGTAAAATGTAAAAATGGAATATGCAGCCCTCTTAACCTTGAGCATAGTGACTTAGAGACATTGTATATTAGTTTTGCCAATAACACTGTGGACTTTATGATTTTTGGGTCAAAACTTGAATGAGGTAATTTTGTCTTTCAAGAGTTTATTTGCTAAGAACCAACTAGTCATGAAAGAATCCACTAATAGATGTCAGAAAAAGTAGTTCATAAACTTCAACGTTTAGTTTGGGGCTCTGTGTTACCTGACTGAGCCTTAAATCAATGGTTTTAATCGATGGTGTGTTCTTTGAATGGTCGATAATGCTGTAGACAATCTTACCAAGAACTGTACAGATGTGGAGGTGTGGCTTTCAAATTCAGGTTTAAACTGCTGGAAGCAATATAAATATTCATTTTATAATTGGATTGTATAAAGATATTGGCTGTGATGAGCTTTCTGTTTTGTTTTGTTTTTTAGTAGTGAAATTGATTAAATCCCCATTCCATTCAACACACACTTGTTGAAAGAGCATTGTCGTGGTGTTATTAGGGGATGTGTTTCTTCACTGTATTTGGGCCTTTTGTATTGCACTCATGATATTAAATGTGCCTTGAAGTAGTTGTTTTTTAAAAGTTCAAGGAATACTATGATGATTTTGTTGTACTTTAACATTTTAATTTGGGGAGCTGTACATAGCAGGCTGATTTTAGAAAAACTGTAGCTGTGCTCTTCAGAGCAAAGGAAAAGGCTCTCTGTGCCTCATGTTTTAAAGACCTACTATTTTCCAGCTGGTACTATAACAGAGAAGGAAATTTGACACTTGTGACTTTTGGACACTTTATCCCAAGAGACTGCATAGAAATTAACGTGGGTCAGCTTCACAGGGTGCCTAAAATGTGTCAGCTTGGCTAGGCCATGATTTCTGGTATTGTGTGGTTGTCCACCACTTTGTCATTGATGTGATTTTCCTATGTGTTTAAATCTACCTCTATGATATTAATGAGGCAGGATTACCGGCACTTATGTTACTGAGGCAGGACTCAATATACAAGATTAGGTTGTATTTTGAGTCAATCTTTTCTGAGATAGAAAAGAGAGAAGTGAGCAGAGAAACAGGGGGACCTCATACCACCAAAACAGTAGTGCCAGGAGCAGAGGGCATCCTTTGGACTCAGATCCCTGAGTTGAGAAGCTCCTAGACCAGGGGAAGATTGATGACAACATCCTTCCCCCAGAGCCAACAGAGAGAGAAAGCCTTCCCCTGGAGCTGGCGCCCTGAATTTAAACTTCTAGCCTACTAGACTGAGAGAATGTTTGTTAAAGTCATCCACTTGTGGTATTTCTGTTATAGTAGCACTAGTTAACTAAGACAGAGGGTACCTAACATCTGTTTGAAATGAGCTTAGTGTGCCAGCATTTAGGCTTCGATTTATCTTTTATGCCATTTAAGGTCACAGTGGAAATGGCCTAAATATTAGTGGGTCAAGAACAATTTCATAAAGTGTGTTACTCAAATTTAGCCAGCATCCTTCTTTTCCACTTAGGTAACAAGTCACTTAGAGGTCTTTTTTTTTCTCCCCCCTTTTTATTTATTTATTTTTTAAATTAATGTAATACACGCTTGTGTATAAAATTGAAACAGTGGAGAAAGGTAGAGATGAAAAATGAGAGTCACTCCTGGATGTGACCTTGACCTTCCCCCATCTATTGTCAGTTTTAATTCTGAGGGAGAAGATTCCCTGAATTATCATTTCTACATTAGTTAAAATATTTAATTCCTGTGACAATGCATACATTTGAGAGACATATGTTTCAGTATTTTGGCAGTTTTCAGTTTGCATTGAATCATCTAGGTGATTGTGTATACATCTCTCCAAAAGAGCCTGGATCTTTTCCCTTTAATAACTAAAGCAAATGTACAATGTCCATTCTTTTTTATAAATTCTTCTCCTGAAGGATTTTCTAATTGCTCTGTGGATCCTTTTATTTTAGGATTGGGTTGGGTTTTTTGTTCTAATTTTTAAAAGTTACTCCAAAGACCGTTACTTCTAATTGAATTCTCATCTTTTATTTTTGTGATGTGATGTAAGCATACTGTGAATTTTACATGACATAGTTAATAAAATGAAGTAAAATTACAGAATGTTAAAAAAAAAAAAACCTACTGCCGTCAAGTTGATTCCGACTCATGTTGATCCCGTGTGTTACAGAGTAGAACTGATCCAGGGTTTTCTTGGCTGTAATCTTTACAGAAGTAGATCGCTAGGCCTTTCTTCTGTGGCACTGCTGGGTATGTTTGAACCACCAACCTTTAGGTTACAGGTTGAGTGCAATCTGTTTGTGCCACCCAGGGACCTTCCACTGACAATTAGTTCCTTCAAATACCCCAAAGGGAAAAATATGCAGTGGTCAAATAATGTTGCATGCATTATCACCATATTGGAGGTTCACAAGGCACATTAGAATATTAAAAGGAACGAGAAGTTCTGAAATAAAGGAACCTCTATAACCATCACTCCCAAACTAATTTAATCAGGGAATCATCTATTCATTTAATACCTATTAACACCCCATAACAGTGTTCCTCAAAACATACGTTGGAAAAACATAGGTGATAATACCTATAAAACCCTCTCATGTCTTATGAAACAGAAAATAAGTGTTTACTGCAGGAATAGATTTAAATGAACATCATATTGGCCATACACCATCCCCATTCTTATTCTAATCTCCAAAGAGAGTTCTGGAGTGCGCAAAGGATGAAATCAAAGACACGCGATGGGGTTTCCATTCCAAGGGATAAAATCTTTGGCCGTGAAATGAAACGGTGGAGCCTCCACTAGTCCGACTTTATGAGAATTAGAAAAAGGTACCCCTTCGGGCAGGTACAGCTCCAGAGGTGCACTGTTCTTCTTGAGTCTATGCATCTGTGTGTGAAGAATAAGGTTGGATGTACCTTTTACTTAGAAGCACCAAGAAGACCCATGTTGGCAATCAGGAGAGAAGAGAAAGAAAATGTCACTTGGTTTAGGATAAAAAGTTGGGGGATGGTGAGAGGAGGTCTTTGAAGTTTACATGTGGTCCAGCCAAGGTCACGAGGATGGGAGCCCAGAACAGAAGGCTTAGGCAAGAATGGCGTGTACATTTGGCTGGTGCATCAGTCATGTCTTACCTCTCAAAAATCTGAGTATAGCAGATGCAACTGGGTTAGAGAACTGGTGAAGTGGAAGTTAAGCAATTGAGCGAACCTCCAAAACTTGTAACTAGAAAACAAGAACTCTGATATCTTAAAGGAAAACAACTTAAAGCATTACTATCTATAAACAGAAGTCAGACATTCAAGAAGGACAAACACATCTCTTCTTAATGT